ACCCCAGGCCTTAATTCTGTTGTACAACCCCATTTCCAAAAAAGTTGGGACGCTGTGCAAAATGTAAATAAAAACAAAATGCAATGATATGCAAATAATTTATACCCTACATTTCATTTAAAATAGTACAATGACAACATATGAAATGTTAAAGCTGAGAAATTTTATTGTTTTTTTGAAAAATATATGCCCATTTTGAATTTGATGCCAGTAATACGTTTCAAGAAATTAGAATGGGGCATGTTTACCCCTGTGTTTCATCACCTCTTTTTTTAACAACACTAGCATTTGGGAACTGAGGAAGCCAACTGCTGTAGTTTTGAAAGTGAAATGTTTTCCTATTCTTGCTTGATATAAGATTTCAGCTGCTCAACATTTCTGGGTCTCCTTTGTTGTATCTTTCACTTCATAATGTGCCAAATGTTTTCAGTGTGTGACAGGTCTGGACTGCAGGCAGGCCACTTTAGCACATGGTTTCTAACTACAGAGCCATGCTGTTGTTATACATGCAGAATGTGGTTTGGCATTGTCTTGCTGAAAGAAGCAAGGCCTTTCCTGAAGAAGACGTTGTTTGGATGGCAGCATTTGTTTCTCCAAAACCTGTAAATATCATTCAGCATTATTGGTGCCTTCACAGATGTGCAAGTTACCCATGTCATGTGCACTAACGTGCCACATACCTTTCTGGCTTTTGAACTGGGCACTGATAACAGGACAGATTGTCCCTCTCCTCTTTAGCCTGGAGAACGCAGCATCCATGGCCATCCAGTATTGGTTTACTGCCTTGTGACTTCCATACAGAGATTTCTTCGGATTCTATAAATCTTTTATTGATATTATGTATCGTAGATGATGAAATCCCCAAGTTCTTTGATATTTTATGTTGAGAAACTTTATTCTTGAATTGTTTGCCTGTGCAGTCTTTCACAGAGTGGTGAACCCCTGCCCATATTTCCTTCTGAAAGACACAGCCTCTCTGGGAGGCTCTTTTATACCCAGTCATGTTATTGATCTTTTGACAATTAACCTTATTAGTTGTGACATGTTCTACCAGGTGTTTTTTTTAGCATTACAAAACTTTACCAGTCGTTTGTTGCCCCTGTCCCAACTTTTTTTAAATGTGTCGCTTCCATCAAATTCAAAATGAGCATATATTTTTGATTTCAACATATCAACATTTTATATGTTGTCTTTGTACTGTTTTCAATATAGAATTTAAATGATTTGCACATAATTGTATTCTGTTTTCATTTGCATTTTGCTCAACTTTTTTTGAAAACGGGATTGTAGCACAAAGAACATATAAAACCCTCATTCAGTTTGGGATAAAAAATCATTGTGAGCAGTCATCTGTCTCTCTCTCTCTCTCTCTCTCTCTCTCTCATAGACACACACTCTTTATTTATTCTTTCAGAAGCAATTTCCTCGTGTTGCTGACATGGTGCAGTGCCCCACAAGGTGAATATACAAGGTGAGTTTGACAATTAGCCTAGCAGGTGTTGAAAATTCCACTTGACATTGTTCCTCATCTGTTTTTTAGCTTCGTCAGCAGCCTGAGTAAAACACTGTCACTGAAGGGAGATTTATGCACTGTCAAGCCATATCTGTTACTGTAAGAAACCTGGTGGATACTCACATTTATATGCTTTTTTGTCCCATTCTGTTTTTATTCTTATTTTTTAATGATGGTTTTCTAATTTAATCTTTGAAAGGCTATACATTTTTATTTGGTCTTAAAAAATTGTGATTACTTAATCAAAATAATCAGTAAATTATTACAGTCAATAAAAGCCATGTTATCATTCCTTTTTCCAACCAAATGTATTGGCTTCTACTTCCTTCGTAAGATTTCTAGAGCCTGTCCTTTTCAAAAGGGGAGCGTTAACATGAGCTACATCAGTCTATTACACACCGTGACGGCCATTCAACCCAGCGTGCCACTCTCCTCTGCCAGCGTGAAATGCAGTTGGATTGGGAGCACATCACTGTTGGAAAGTGGTTGAAGGAATAGCCTGTGTCATTATGATTTTTTTCTTGCTCTGTCCACTGTAAATCTTTCCCCCAGCCACCAGTCTACTTTTTGTTACTTTTTAATACAAACTCAAGTGAACTAACTTTCACCAGTTCAGGGTTAGAGCAGGAAAAACACATTACACTCAAGATGCATTGCTAATTACTTACAAGGGCTAATTTCATGAAAAAACTGACATCTATGACATTTCATGGCATTTTTACAATTGTTTATTAGATCAACAAGGCTTCAGTTTCTTCATGCAGTATGCCTGCAGGAATGTGTCGTGATGTAGACACAGCAAAATCCTGGGCTAAAATTTCTGTATAATTGAATCGTTAAGATGTTTGATGTGAAATGCTCTAGATATGTTCTAGAGAAACCTTTCACAGTGGTGGTGATAGGAACCAGATGTCTGAAGCACTGCTTTCACATAGAAAGTTTTAAAGGTTACAAATACACAGAAGACAAAATGGTTACAAATACGCTGCCGGATGCCTAAAACATTGTATTACGATATAGTTTTGAGATAAGGGTTTGACAAAAAACATATATTTAAATTCATTCATGGTGGAAAGGTGCATGCAAGGTGTTGTAAGGAAAAATTGTAATCAAAGAATACTTGTGTTTTTACCACTAATGTACCACTATCAACAGTGCATATGGAAACCTAGAAGATGCGTACAATTTCACTGGTCTTTTTGGATAGTAAATAAAATAGGTATATTTTGTTTTAAACCTCGTAAACCTAGTTCCTATCACCACCATTGTAAAGAATTCCCAATTTGTATGTTTTTCTGCAATGAACCATTGAACACCAACCCACTCTGGATGTCTTTGTTTACATCTTTATGATTGAATTGTACAGAAATCTTGAAAAATCAGTGGAATTTTCCTTTAACACATACAGCACAGCGGTCAGTTGCAATGAACTGGTTTTAAATAAGCACCGTAGGTGTTATTCTTTACTGGGGAATTGTGGAAGATCAGACATTATCCCCATAAAGTAAACTGCATAATTACTGTAGGTCAGTGGTTCCCATCCCAGTTCTCAGGACCCTCGTAGATGATTCACATTTTTGCTCCAACCTGGATTGTAACACATAGGGATGAAGGAAAAATGTTGACTGTCTGGGGGCCCCTGAGGACCAGACTGGGAACCACTGCTGTAGGTTATAGACTGAGAATTTGTTTTCTTTTGGACCTGTCCTTTGTACTTACACATATTGGTAGCAGTACTGAGAGGTGCAGGAATCACCTGAGGGAATGTCTCAACGTCCTGCATTCTCAAAACCTGGGTAAAAAGCTGGATAAATAGATAGTGTTTCAGTATAAGAGATTATTAAAAAGACATCACCACAGCGTAACTGGTACACCGCTGTAGAGACTGTAGACACCTGTAATGTCCACAGTTCCATGAGACATGTGATATAATGACCAACAGCAGCTCACTGGTCAGTCAATGCTTAACAGCCTTGCAGCACCACATTATTCAGACTATATTTCCCTCTAGTGGCCACGTTGGTGAGTGTGTAAAGTTTAGGTGACAACACTAATATAAGGATGTTAGTTTATTTGTTTGCTTTAATCCCTGTTCCTTCTTGGCCAGAGGGAAAGATTCAAATAAAAGCCTATGCACATGAGAACCAAGTAAATTAGCAATCAGAGAAGCGCCGTTCTATGTGAGTAACGGCTTCCAAAAGCGGTCGTTGTTCGCCCCCTAGTGGTTATGTCGGTAACACACGTCTGGGCAAATTACGTCATAGTTTGAAGTGAAATCAATTTATGGGTCATACGCTGTCGCTTACTGGGTCATCACGAAGAGCACGATAATGTATGCTGAAAGTTTGACTTCTGTGACTAAGTGCTGAATTACTCACTGTAAGTCATGATTACATAACTAGTACGACTAAAGTAGGTTAGACTATCTGGGCTAATGATAAAAGACCATTAATAGATATTATACAATAACAGTAATAATAATAATAATAATAATAATAACAATTGAATTTTATAACAGATACACTAATCGATTAAGACAAAAGGAATATAACTGTGTACAATTACTGAGATTTCTGCATTTTAACTAGAACTGGAAGCAAGTTAATACTGGCATGCTTTAAATTGGTAATACGACAGTTGGTCAGATTTGTATGGTTTATTAAAGACATTTTTGCAGTGAAGGCTACTACTCAAAACTTGCAGGCAATTAATTAAAATGTCAATACTGTTAATAATGGCAAATAATGTTTATCCAAGATAATGCTTCTAAACACTGCTACCTACTAGCATACTTAATTGTTCTCCACTCGTTACCACGTTATTAGCAGGTTAACCGCGTTACCAGATTATGTTGGTTAGCCTGCTAGCTCCCCGCTGTAGCCTAACCCTTTTCGTCATGAGCGAACGGCATTACGTCGAGCCGCATCAAACGCTCACACTCACTCAGACGGGCGATTATGAAGCAGAAATACAAATATTATTTTTTCGATTAAAAAAATAAAAATATATGTAGCCTCAGAATAATAACGCGAGAGTTTGTAAGTTGCATTCAGTTGGCAGTTCCAGCAGTGACAGGCAGAGCGGATCCGCGCATGACCCAGCAGCCCGTACTGTAGACTCCTACTGTACACGGCCAGTATAAGAGCCGTATGAAAAACAGGCACAAGCCTGAGGTAAGGAACCGGAGACTGCGCCCAAAATAACCGTCGAAGCAGTGCCTTTCCGACCGGGCTCCTCCGCTTTTCTGAGGTGTTTTTTTTTCACCCTAGCCAACTCGGTCGTAGCTGTCGAAAAATGACTGCACTAAACATATTTTCGTGCCTCTCTTTTGCTACGGCGCGAGGATTTTTTTTGCCTCCTCCTTCGTATTAAAGTCGCCATTTTGCTTCACTGCCTATAAAAGCGTATTGTAGTTGATTATTTTCCGTGCGGGGTCGGTAACGTCGCTGCTTTTTATTTCCTTCGTGGCCGTTTGTGGAGGTGACCATGTCTCGACTTGGTGTGTTTTGGAGGAGGTGAGGAGAGGGACTTCGCGCTTTACATGTTAATGAAGAAGAGGAGCGGCGGACGGAGTGTGAGAACAAGGTGAAAGGGTTCGGGCTTTTGGTTCATTTGCGTTTCCTATCCACCTCTCTTTGCTCTTCCTCACCTCCTCCCCTCGTCCTCCTCCTCATCGTCGTCCTCCTCCTCCTCCTGCTGCTGCTGCGGAGCCACAGTGGGGGGCTGTGAGGGTGCTCGGTGGTCGTGAGGAAATAGCCGGCAGTGGACCCCCCCCTAGTCCAGGCGGAGTTGCCATGTAGCGCCCTGAGGGAGCTGTGAGAATACAGCCTGAAGCGCACGTGGGTGACCCGGGTGGCTCGGGCCGGCCGAGTGTTTGGGTGGCTCCAGCGTTTCAGGTAGGTGTGGCCTTACACCAGTGAGACACTCACAGGGCTCTCCATCATCAGCATTGAGGGGTCAGTAGTTCTGTCACATAGAGTATATGAGTGGACTGCACAGTGTGTTTGTGCAGCATACGTAGGTTAGAAGATGATGAGAGAGATGAAAAGTACACACGTAACCTAATGCACTCACATACCTGCTCCCCTCACACACTAAAACATACAGTGCTGTGCAAAAGTCAGAGGCCACTGTTCGTTTATTTACAACCAAAGCTGCCATTAAGTACAAGGTATTCATTTTCAGGTGCTGTTTCTGAGAAGATATAATAGATTAAGATAAAAGATAATCCACTTGTAAAAAGAAGGGAAAAGTCAAACAAAAAAAACAAATTTAAAAAGTTATTAAAAGAGAAAATGTGACTCCTAACAACCATGCAAGGCCTAGTAGACCACCAAACTGTCATGATCAGATAAACAGTATTATAAAGCATACTTCTTTGAAAGAGAGGAGAAAATCAAGCAAACTCTTGTTTCAGATCTAAAAAAGTCCACAGGTGTTTCTGTCTGTCCTTCCAGTGTGAGAGGACAACTTGGCTGTTTGGGTCTGAAAGGATGTGTAGCTGTCAAGAAACCATTACCGAGAAAAGGCAATAGACAAAAAAGAAAAACAATCAGGAAATTTGCCAATAACTCAGATAGCTCAGAACAATGGACTGGCCACCCCGAAGTCCAAACCTCAACATCACTGAATGTGTTTGGGATTACTTGGCACATGAAAACATAAAATGCAAGCAACTTCTAACACTAAACTTCTGAGCTATGAAAAAATATCCCTGCAGAATTCTTCAAGTCTCCTGAAAAGAATGTTTTTTTTCCTGAAACTGAAAATGGAGTAACTTGTACTTAATGGCTGAAATTAAAGTAATAAACAGTGGTCTCTGACTTTTGCACAGTACTGCACGTGACACATGCACTCAAATTAGAGCACACGAACACATAATGCATGCACAGTCCACACTCATGCTTGGTACCCCCACTCCACACACTCGGTGCACACAAACATGGCGCCCACACGCACATCCACAGTGCACACACACTGCACACCTTTTGAAAGTGTCTGTTGGTGTGTATGTGTTAAATTCCTCAAATACTTCAGCACTTTCTCCTAGCAGCTGCTTTTCAGATCACTCTGTTGTGCTTTTCTTTCGTGAAAATGGGCTGCTTCCTCAGAAATGCATCCAGGCTTTCTGTCATAAATAATCTGGCTTAATGCTCCTCACAGAGTTAAAGCCTATCATTGTGTTTGAGGTTTTGTGGCCTTTTGAAGCATCAGGGTTGCGGGGTGCACTGATGAGGACGTCGCAGGCCACATCAGAAGTCCAGGCCCAGGTGCGCACTGTGTCTGATGTACCATCAGTCAGGCCAAGCCTGTGGTTTTATCGTTCGTCTGATGAAGTGCACCTCACAGTTCTGCTTGTGGTTTCGTGTGGAGCAGAAAGTACTCGCTGCTTTCACTTTCCCTGCTGCTGTCTGGCCTACCAGTCAAAAGCCATCCCTCTCTCTCTCTCTCGCTCTCCCTCACATACTCTTTCACTCTGTCTTTTTCGCACTGTAATGTAATGTAATGCCTGGACATACAGTGAAGAAGCACTTTTGTCCTCCCACATAATTCACAAGATCAAAGACTGCTCTGTGTATGTTTGTGGGCACTTTTACTTTTACCCAAAGCTGTTCTCAGAAGTAAAATAAAATGGCAAAGAAGAGTAAATAACAACTATTACAATGTTAAAAGGGAATTCCACCAATTTCTCAAAATGTATGCAGTTCATTTGTTGAGATTCAGAGTGGTTTGATGTGAAACGGTGCAAACTTACCAACTCTGTGTTTTTTTGCAATGGTGGTGATGGGTTGCAAAATCTATATAAATATAGCCATTATTTGTTATTCAAAACGACCAGTGAACCCAATATCTTCTGAGCTTGTAGAGGTAATGTTGACAATGGTAAAATAGTGGATAATCATTTTTTTTTCTTTGGGTACTGTTGTGCCTTGCAACATCCTGCATGTACCTCTCTGCATGTACCTCTCTGCTTTAGGCCAAAATCTTATCTCAAAACCATCGTAAAACAATATCTCAGGCATCAAGCTACACATTAGTAAGCATTTTGTGTAATAACGTTGTGAGGTAGCTTTTAGAGGCAGAGACGTCTGGTTCCTGTCACCACTGCTGTGAACGAGTCTGACTCTGTAGGTTTCTCTAGGATAGTGCATCTCACATCAAACCACTCCGACTGACTTTGTTCACATCTTAACAGTTGAATTATGCAGAAATCTTGAAAAATTGATGGAATTCCCGTTTCATTTTGCTATTTTTCCAGCTGTTTAAAAAGGTCTATTAGGTGGTTAAACTTGAGCTTAAGGTTAGAGTTATTATGCTATATATAGGCATGTGTGCCTGTACAAATATGTTGGCTGAGAAAGATAATGTCTTGAGTAAAGTCATGAGTAAATAAGTTTGATGATTAAAAAAAAACTCATTCATTTACAATACTGTTACAGAATCTTGGCTATTGATAAATACAGACACATGCTTGGACATCAGGCCACAAATGAGAATGTTTGAATGGTTGGTGATTTAAAGAAGTCAGTGAGTGTGGCTTTAAGCTGAAAAACTGAACTTAATAAGGAACTAAAACAGTTTTAATACAACCTAATAGGAAAGCATGATCCTGCTATAATCAATCCTGTTTGTTTTAATTAGTCTTTGTCAGGCTGCATTTGTTACCATACGCTGCTCATTTCTGAGACAGATTGATGATCATGGATCAAAATGACGTTCAGAACGGCATGCAGATATAAATGCAGATCTCAACGCTCACTGATAAAGAAATAAAGCTTTGAGAAAATGATGAGGAAATTGTAGAAATGGTGCAAAAGTATAGACTTACTGACATACTGACTAATATATGTTAAGTGAATTTTTCACATCTAAAATGTTTACATGAGCTCAGTGAAGATAATCATGCAAAGCGTGATTGTTGAGCTCATTTTGAAAGTTTTAATGTGAGAATCTGAGGAGACGTTTTACAGCGCGGACCAGTTCACACCAAGAGCTGTCATTAGAATTAACTGTGAGTTGCTAATGTGGTAAGATAGTTCTGTACACACATTCAGATGTTGCTTGCATACTCATCTGTAGGGTCTAGTGGTTGTTCCCCCCAGCTTAAATAAGTGAAGACTATGGTCATTTTTATTTTTATGGGCAGTTTTTTTTTTTTACAATACACCAAGCTTAGTTCTGTTGACGTGAACCTGAAAGGGAAGCAACTGCAAATGACCTCACTGTTTTTTTGTGTTCACAACAGAAGAAAGGATTAATTTCTCTTTGTGGTCCTTTTTAGCTGCCTAGGTAAGGCCAAATTAAGGGTAGTGTTGTTCAAGTTTTTCATTTAATAGATGCTCTGCATTACAGTGATTTTACCAATATGTATAGGGTTTAACTCCACAATAGAAATGCTTTTAACATCCGGCGTCTTGTGGCTTATGCTATAATGTGCCAGCACTGCTGTCTCTTCGCAAGATCGTACAAACACATGGACAGGCATTCTCCTGAGGAGTTTTTTTACCCACTGAAGTACTGGAGGATTGTGACTGTATACTTATGTTCTTGAAGCAAACATGAATCAAAATGTGAAACCGACTGGGGCTGCCTTGTTTTCCCATTGCACAAATCAACTGGGCCACTAAATAAACTACAAACAAACAGTACTGAGACCACCTGAGGAAGTGGTCTTAATTTGGTTCGTTTGTGGGTCCATTTAGAGCAGGGGAGTCCAATCTTATCCACAAAGGACCAGTGTGGGTGCGGGTTTTTGTTCCAAACCAGTACATCTGATTCCACTTGTTTAATCAGTCAGTCTCAGTCTTTAAACTACTGATCATGTGTGCTCTGCTTTGTTGCTACGAAATCCTGCAGCCACGCCGGCCCTTTGTGAATAAGATTACACACCCCTGATTTAGAGTGATCTAAGTTTGTTTGATGCTTTCACATATGCTCAGAAAACCATGATGCAGTTGAAATGGCCCGAGTGTGAAAACTCTCTTTTAGACACGCAATATGGTTTTCCTTTGAAACAGTACAAACTATGAGCAGGTTTAAATGTATTATGTCCTAGTAAGAAAAAAACATAGGGAAAGATCATGGAGATCATTCTCATTCATCTTTGTTCCAATGACTGGCCTGAAAAGCCACCCCAGTGGAAACACAGTGATTGATTTTTTTCCCAAGAGCGACTAGACAACCAAGTACCCTAGATAAACTGTGACAGCTACCTCTGAGCTCTGTGTGTGTGTTTGTGTTATATTTATGCATGCATGTGGTGGTTTATTTGTGGTTATGCTTACCTGACCATAGGTAACACATTCACCATGGACACATCTGTTTATATGAATGAATATTGTTGATTGTGGTTGCATACATTCAGCGTTGTGACACATTGTCCTTTATATTCATATATGTGTCTGTGTATGTGTGTGCCCATACAGGCATGGACACCTCCAGCGGTACCCGGATAGTTAAGCCACCCTCAGGCATGTCCAAAGGACGCCCACCCAAACAGTCTCACCCGCCAGAGACAACAAGGATGGGCAGCACTGAAAATGACAATCATGGTGAGTAACAGGTGCTGCATTGGTTTAAAAGCTGAACCAAGTTTGAGCTAATGATTAATTACATTTATGGCTGATCCATGACGTTGCACAATAATTCAGATTGTGTCACTTCCCTCAGAGTGTCTGTTAGAGGTATAATCATACACGCTGCCCACAATTTGATTTGATTAATGACTGGCAGATTTGATCATTTGGAGACCTCTTTGGTGGAAATGTGTATTTGCATGCGACGTGTGGAAGAACTTTTTGTAAGGTCGTTTGTGCTTTTGTAACGTCAGTGGCGTGGTCCATAAAACTCCCAAATATTATATTTCTCTGTAATGCTAATCCAGGTGGAGTTAGTCCTAGTGTTGTACATTTTATATATATTTATGTATCAAAACTGGTATTGGTAGTGGTAGATATGCACATGAATTATTGGCCTCCAGTTCTCATCTCAGTGCGTCTTTGTTATTACCTGTTGGTCCATTTATCATAAAATGTTTGCACAATAAAAAGGGCAGCAGAAGTTTTCAAAATGGTGCAGATAACAACCCCCCTATCAGAAAATAATGACGTCATGAGAGGTTTTGATATGACAGTGACGACAAACTCTAAAGTGGCTTCTGATGAGTTAAACAAGGAAACAGATCACTTTGGGTGTTGCTAATATGACGTGCAAATTTCTGTTGAAACAATACCATTAGTTTTCTGCCTGTGGGGACTTGTGCTGAACCAAAAACAACAGTGCTTTTGCAAAAGCATTCTTTTGTTTTACAAGCAGATATAAGAGTTTGGTTGGTGACTGGTAAGTGTACTTATGCTACTATGCACCAGTTATTGTCTTGTTTTGTTGCCTTCCATCTGCTGAGACCTTGTGTGAATGTTCATAGTGAACTTAGCCTAATCTATAACACAATCTTCAGTTTCTGTTGTGTATCTAACTTCAGTGTTTCAGTGCTACAGTGGATTATTTTTTGACTTGGGATGTCACACCAACACAGTGAACTCAGGAAGTGATTGCTGTCTCATTATAATAAAGGCCTTTTGACAGCATGTCTTTCTCGAGGTAGGCAGGGTTTTTTTGGGTGTCACTGAAAAACATTCCCCTTAACGGCTGAACATGGGCCATCGTTACATGAATGACTGGCTCTGAGGTAAATATGCATGCCTTCAGCTTTCCTCTCTGCATTTACACACAGTATGGAGTCATTTAGCCCGTCAGATCTGACAGTGTCAGAGAGAAAGTGCGAGAACATTTCACTGATGAGCTATTCAAGAACAGCTGTCATCATTTGTGGAGTAAGTGGGTTGCCGTAGATGCCAAAATCAAACACAGAGAAAACATGCCAGTGACATAATGACTGGTTGGTGCAATTTACAAGTTTATGCTCAAGCATGCCTAGTTTTGCGGTTTCTTGGTGGTTAGAAATTGGCTATGGTATGCTGATAAAAGTACAAATGGGCAGTATGTGCTCACAACAGATTAAGTGGTCAACATGTTCAGTCTCTATTTTGAATCATGGTGTGGGACATGAGGATGTGTGTTGATTGCTATGTAATGAGCGCTTATGGGAAGAGTTGACACTCAAAGGGGTGTTTTGCTGAGGGAGTTTTTTCATGAGTCATGGTTTTTGGCTTGTTTTCTTCTCTGGGGGACATTTCACGAAGCAGGATTTTCCAGTTAAGTTGGACAGAAATCAAGACTGTACAATAAGACTAAGATTTTAGTTCAAGAAATCCCCTGCTAGTCATTTTGAGACATAGAAATGTGTGATCTTGAAATAGAGATATCTGAAAACAGTACAGCCATGCAGCAAAATTTATTGAACTGAAAATATATATATTAATGATCTTCTCCAGGACATTCAACAAAAAGCATAAAAACAGCATTATTCTCTTGTATACAGTGGTTCATTTGTGTCAGTTATTTATATGATGGGTTGTAACAGTGCATTGTGACATGAGATCACTGTGCAAAACTGTGAAAATGCATCATGTATGGCATCATTGCCTCTGCTCTAGTGTTGTTAGTACAGTCGTATGTAAAAATGTAAACCCCCTACACAAATTACGTTTTGTTGATTTTCTAAGAGAACAGGTCACAAACTTAAATATGACATTTTCTGCAATTATGCCACACACTTCCATTCAATCAGAAAAAAAGAGAGTAAGTATACATTATTATACTGTATGCATTGTTACCTCAACATAAAGTTCAGTTGTTGATGGGACAAAATTGAAACATTTCAGTGTAATTTAATTGGTTTTCATTGGAATGGAAATCTTTTTGGATCAGTGTGTCCTATGTTTTCTTTTCTTTCCCAATTTAATATCTGTAGAGAGTGTTTACTTATTTTCATTTATAAAATCATTAAAAATGTAATTTGACCAGGGGTCCCCAAACTTTTGCATACGACTATAAGCTAAATAACAACATGATTATCATCGTAATTTTTCTTCTTTTGAATTTTGTTCCACATATCATGAGAATACTGAATTGTGAATCTAGTATCATGAATTGAATGTATCGTTGCACCCCTAATATGTGATTTTGATTTACTGAGCTGCTAAACTGAACTATGAAGAATCGTGTGTGCTCATTTGGAGTTGACTGAAGCATTCTAAATTACCGGTGTGGGATGGCAAACCTGGCCCTGCTACATAAATGAGAAATGAGAGAGATATTCCTGCGTCCAGGCCACGCCATTTGAGTTTGAGAGTAGATTTCAAGGATGCCGAACTGTCCCTTCCAGATGTTGTTTAGTGCTGAGTGCGCAGGCTCCATACATCTTCACTACCTCGGTCCATTGCAGCTGAACTCAGAAACATACTTTTCCCACCCATATGCATCTCCTAAACGTTGCTGCAACATTTCCTTGGCGTTTCTGTAATTGCATGTGAAGAATGGCCATGTTTGTGCTGGAACGTTGGTTCCCGGGCTGACTAGATGGCTGAACAATACCGACTCTGTCCCATAATAAATGACGGAAGCTCCGACAGGGCAAATTGATTAAGCTTTCTAAGGGGGCTAATTGATTAATTGACACTCATTATAGCCTTAACAGTGTTTTTATTGATGGCCTTTTGCCATCGTCATGGTGATGTGGTAACATTCTCAGCCACTCTGTAGCAAGAGCAGTGGCAGCTCACTGAGTGGAAAATGATAAAGATGGATTTGTCGTTTGTATTGCTTTTTCGTTGCTGATATTGTTGCTATTCTTGCTCTAAGTATTTCAGGTGTTACTATTTCAGGATATAAAAAATGAAGTTTGACACTTTCTTCTGAGTATTTATATCGAAAACTGCGTTCAAGAGTATAACCCTATGAGGTCCATCATTGTGCTAGCATAATGAAAAAGTCTCATCTTACTTTAATAGGTCCTTTGCTGTTAATATGTGCAAATAAAAAAAATACATACTGTACAAAAATTATTGTGCAAAAGTATTGTGCATCTGGGAAATTTGTAAAGCTATATGATGATATGTAAAGGTATTAATCTGGGCATTAAGCATTTGTGTGTTTAAAAAACACTAACATCATAATAAGTACAAATAAACAAACAGTACAGTGGGTCAGTGTGGTAGCGTTAGCAATGACATTTCCAAAAATAAAAAAGCCCAATATTTACAGTTACCATCCAGTACCTAAATTGGCTAAAAAGTCCTTCGTTAAATTAACCGATGTAATAGCTGGAGTTCACCAAGAAGTCAGGAACCAAACTTGTTTGTCCAAGTGTGTTTTTCTTTTCAGGATATGTTACTTTTTACTGTATTTATGGTTATTTGTGTTTCTTCAAAAGTTATATAATGTTCTTACTGACAAAAACACACTCACTTCTTTGTTTTAAACAATTTTATTTTTTTCAGCTGTTTATTTGGTGATGACTGTTTTGGTGGTCTACCAGGTTTTTCATTGACTTTCCCCTACTTTATAATCTCTTCTGAAAAAAAAAGGAGTAGTTTGTGCTGAAAGGCTGTTTTGACTGGAAATTTAAAAAATGTAGGGTGGTCTTTCACTTTTGAACAGTACTGTAGGAGATATTAAATCAGCTGGTAAAATGCTGGACTTTATAGGGCTGAAGTACTTTCACTATACACTACACTGCTGAGTTTTTATTGCCAGCTTAGAAATATGTAATCTAAGCTTTTTTAGGTTTTGATCTCTCTGTCTGTCACTGTTGGCTGCTATGTCTTGGCTGAACTGAATTACAAAGAGTGACAAAGAGTGAAGGAGTTATTGCATTCCTGAGTTTCCTGTGCCAGGCCTGTGGCTGCTGCTACCATGTAAACACAGCGTCTGCGAGGGAACACAGGAGAAACAATGCCGTGGTGTTCCTGCAGTTGTGGTCTCTTTATAAATCTGCCATAACCAATGTTTAGCCCCCACGTTGTGCACATGTGAGTGTGTGTGGTGTTGGCAAAAATGACTGCAAGAGAGTGACAAAGAGTCTTTGTGTTGTCTGAGTCTTGCTTTTCTTTAGCATGATTCGCATGGGCTTCAGTTTTTACTATTTTTTGGCCTATTGATGCCGGACAATTGCTCAGCTTTCTCTTTTTCAATAATAGAGACACCTCTACTGTCAATTAATTAGACAGAAAATGGGCTTCTTTACAACTGGACACTGTAGAGTTTCAGCTGATTAAATTTTGCCTTTGAAATCAGTGTTATTAAAAGATATCCTTTTAGATGTTCAGTCTGTTGTGCTTTATCAAGAAAAGTGTCATTCAGGAGAAGTACTTTGAACAGCACTCTTCATATTGATCTGTATCATGTACTATCTGTGTTGACTGATCTCCCTGCCGGAAGATGGTAAAGTTTAGTTTTAACTGGAATGCTCATTACAGCTGTGCTGTCATTCCCACTCTCATTTACTTTTTTCTGTCATCTTCTTTGTGGAACTCTCAACATGCAGCAGAGACACATGCAGTTTTTTCTACTGTCTAGAATTGTGATTTAAGTGAGAGGTCATTGCAGACTTAATGTTAAAGGAACGCTAATGGCGTGGTCGTCCTTATGA